ATGAATGTCTAAATTCCTTTTCCACAAACTTCTCCAGGATGATCAGGACAAACACAACATTTAAAGCAAACTATCCATTTTAAAATTTGACACTCTTGACAACTCTGATTTTCTTCCTTCTATGTATATGAAGACACATAAAAAGATGAAGACAGAATTTAGTTTGAGTTATTTTTGTATTCAACACATTAAACATATAACTATAACTGCAAAAATACTGAAATGTGATGAAATGCCATTAGTTTTCACACTTTTTATGTCAAAGGAATACCAAACCGCAAGCTAAATTTTTGAGGCACAGGCATTATCTCGTTACACTCACTTTACTTTTGCTATTTAATATAAATGTCTATCTTTTGCTCAGTGCCCAGAGAGGTGTTAAAGTTAAGTTAAAGTTAAAGGAGTTAAAGTTTAGTCCCACTTTCCAGGATCAAAAACTGGACTCCTAAACCATATCCAGACTGACAGTGTGTGATACATTCTGGAATTCACTAAACCATCATGTCAATGGTTATAAAGTTCCATTTAATATCTCTCATAAATTACCCTGTTTCACCAGATGGGGATGCTGTCCCTCCACTGTTTTTCAGCTCTGCCATCTCCCAGAGCAGAAGGTTGGCAAACTTTACTATCAAAAGATAACAAAAGCAAACAAACAACAAAAACAGCTAAAAAAAAATCTATTTCATATAATGAAGCTCACAATGCTTAGCCCTTCAATGTGCTTCTAAAACACAGAAGCAAGACTTTTACCCTCCCAGTGACTTGTGATTTATTAATTACTCTTCTGACATTATTTAACAATTCCTTTGAAATACAATATACTAATGATGTTCATAATGGTCATTTATTGCTTTACATCTCTCACAAGAACCTCTTGTGATGGGATCACACCACAGTGAGTTAACTGTAAAGAGGAACCTGTATTCATAACTTAACTTGGATTTGATTTCAGCAGTTTCCCAACTACACACCTGTGCAGTTTTGTGACTACATGTTGCATCATTGTAATGCTACAAGCTTGTTATAAGTAACAGCTAACAGCATCTACTTTCACTTCTAGCTGTGGTGTGGTTATATTTTTTATTTAATTGGTCTTTATTTGTTATATTATTATTATTATTATTATTATTATTATTATTATTATTATTATTATTATTATTATTATTATTATAAGTAGTAGTATACTATTAAAAAGGACATATATTTATCTAATATTTAGATAGTAAGTTGAGCCTTGATATCTTGAAGTTAAACAACTTACCACAGATTAAACATGGCTGCCACAGATGGGACAAGAGAAGAGAGGGGAGAAGAAAACATGAAGCTCTTCTTTTTTGCAGTTCCCAAACATTCCTGGACCTCAGATGACCTTAATGGGAATTTTCCAATCAGCTCCTGTCCATGCTGGAAGTTGGCCATGGGAATCAGGACAAATGTATAAAAGTGCCCCTTCCTTAAACTATCTAGCATTTCTCATGTATCTTGATGCCTGTTTTGTCCATCGTTACTGTTCTGTCTTTCATGGGAAGAAATCAAGTCAGCTGGCCCAAAGTGAAAACATGTGCCATAATGATGGCAGATAGATTACACTGTCATAATGACTGGTCGTTTCTCTACCAAGCAAACTGTGTGCACATATTATCAATTTGTGTGAACTTAGCAGTATTAAGTACAGTTACAGTTAGAAACACATAGACTAGTCTAAGTATACTATTAGATACTATTAAAATACTTTACTTGTGTATTTATACATTTAACTTTTCCTGCATAGTAACAACACAACACAGGAATCCTTGGTGCTCAGATGACTCTGTTCTTTCTGCTTGTCTGCTGATTTAAATTTTATTACAGAAGCTCAGCAGATGTGTGGTGATGTGTTGCTTCAGGTCTGGAAGTACCAATAACTCCATTTCCTTAAATGTCTATTCGAGACTGACTTCAAAAATGAATAAATTGCCTATGTTAAAATAACCAAATTTACATTAACGAAAAGAAAAAAACATATTTACAGCCACCATTCTACATAGAACTCCTTCTTTCTTGGATTTCTTTTACAACTCCCAACACTGATTTTTTTTAAAGCTTAATATTTTAATTGTAGCTTTTGTTAGCATTTTTGCAGATGCAATGGAATTACCTGACAAATAATATGGCCTGCTGTGAGGGATAAAAGTGTGTGCTTCAGATTCTGTGAGTGAAATTCTAATTTCAGCGCTAATCAGCAGATATTGCTGTCTTCATGTTGCACCAGGACAGTTTATGAATGCAGGATGTTCCCAGCTCCAAATATGGCCGCCTATGGCTCTAAGAAAAAAAAATCAACATGTCAAGCAACTCTGAGTCTTCAAAGACTCTGAGGCTGCAATTTGCATTCCTGACTGAAAGCATCATGTGTGTCCTGTATATACAGTCTATGCTGCTTTGTAGCAAACAGGTCTTAACGTTCCACATAATATCCTGCAGAACTAGTCCACATAGTTGCTGCATGAACACGAACAATTTCTAGCTATTGTGGTTCCAAGCACAAACTCTGATGGTTTGCATATGTTGCATTTATTTTCAAAATGTATAAAGCATTCACATTATTCAAGTGTAATAATAAATATAAAACAAATTTAAATTGTCATTAACAGCATTGTTCACTGCTTAATACCCAACCTTTTTTGTGTGTGTGTCCAATGACATTACGAACAATTTGAAACAAAACACATCATATACATTATGCTAGACATAGTAGTAGTCCATGCTTAATTCTATGTGTGTTCATAGCTAAAATGACCATAATATAATGTACTAGAAACCCATCAGTATCATCCAGACTGTCATGTTTTAGGAAATGCAAGAAATTATAAAAGACGTGCTGGTGCGAAAAGATAATCTACACGGTATCAAATGTGGCTGAAAACGTGAAAAAAATTTAGCAAAATGTTCTTAAGCAGTTTCACAAAATCACATTGTAAATTTCCAGTGCAAAATGTTAAATAAGTCAGTCATAAGTCCAGCCAATAAGCCACAGAGTTTAGGTTCAGTCTACAGGTAACATAGAAGTCCCCAGTGTGTCCAGTGCTGGTACTTCCAAAGACATGAGGCTCAATTTTGTATTTCCTGGGCACACTCAAGGACTGCAAACCAGCAAGATATAAAAAATACTGCTCATGCAATATTTATGTGATACTGAAATGTAAATGTATTGTTTTAAAGTCTCATTTAATTCAAATGGCACCTAGTAAGAACAAAATTCAACTGATTATAGAGCAGGTAAATTAGAATAAACATTTATGCAAAAAAAATGTGAAGAAGTGACAGTGAAATAAACACAGTGTAAGTTTGTTATAAGTTTAAGTGAAATACCTGGCAAGCAGGTAAATGGACTAGCATTGGAGGAAATCTTCATCTCTATCTTAAGTTTATCGTCAATGATAGACGACAAATTTTGGGAATAAAATCTCAGAAAAATATATATTTAAGAGGTGTTTGCCTTTACACGGTGTTAAAAATAAAGCATTAAATGAATGTGCCTCATGCCTCTTCCTCATGCCTTTTTCTTTGGGCTTTGAAATATAACAAACACGTCACAGTCAGGATTTTAGTGCATTTTTTTAGCTTTTCCATTTGGGCCTTTTAAGGTCCTGAAACACATTAGTACTATTAAGGCAGCTGTGACTTGGACCAGATCTCTTCTAGCCTGCGCAAGCTGCTGCTAGTCAGGAGATAAAAATCACAAAGAGCATGTTTTTGAAAAGTTTTCCGATACAGTCACTGCTACTGCTAAAGGCTTTATCAGCATGCTTGTGACTAAAGTCATGAATTAATTTGTGCCCAACTGAGTCACACCAGTAAATAAAGAAAAGAATAAGACATCTATGCTATACAGTGCAGACTCCCTCAATGGTGTCACCCAAACTGTGTTATTTTCACCTTTTATAGCCTTTTTGGTGACTTTAGTCTCAGCATATAAACAGTGCAAGCTTCAGGTGCATGTTTGTTTCAGTTCAAGAAGAAGCCACAATCCAGTTATTCTTGATGGATTTAGCGATCTGTGTAGCACCGCAACTCCAGACATTGTTGCCCAGTTCTTCAATCCCTGCTGGGCGTTTGCTCAGATGTTGGGTAAAAACCATCGTTTAAGTCATTAGGAGCCGTATAATGTTGTAAGGAAGAAGATAAAAGGAATTAGTCATCATTTGCATGATTCCTTAGATAAAATGAATCATGTTATGAAAGCTAAGGTCTTTTATGCATGTTTGGTTTTTTTCAGCAGGTTTGTAAATCTATTATCTACTTTTTTTTCTAAACTGCGAGGTCATCTGCTCTAGTTCGGCTGCTCGTTCCGCTGGCTTTGCTGTATCTTCGCTTGTCCTTATGCAGCAGCACGTCTGGGCCACCATTTTGGATCTGAACACAGCCGACGTCCCTGCTCTCGGGGGTATAGCAGTTAGCATCGGGTCTCAGGTATCTCCCATCTTGGATCTGACCGTCATTGGTCTTCTGCCATCCATGCGAATAGCAGCTCATTTGGAGGAAGTTTACCTCTTCCACTGCGGCTGCCATTTTGTTCTGCTCGGTAGCCATGTTTTCAGAGTTTTGTTGGTTCGCTAGCCGGTGGTTGGGGAAGGGGAGGGGTAGGAAGTGTGTAGAGCCAGTCACGCACTGGTTGAAATCTGGAGGTGGTGTTGATGGTGGTGGAGGAGACAAAGAGAGCTGTCGGCTCAGAGAGGTGTTGGCTGCTTTGTTGGCTTTTGCAGAGCACAAGAATCGCCTGCAATAAACAGAGTGAACCAGTGGGAAAATGTAAGATTTCAAGTTATGCTGCCAACCACAACATACCGTGCTGCCCGCTGTGAACACTTCTTTAAGAATTCACTACCACAAAGTGGAAACCAATCCCTGTTTTCCTCATTCCACTTGTTCTAATGGTAAATTCCAGGAAGTACATCTGAATCACTGAAGGCTTAAAATTGTTATTGGAATCGAATCTCTTGAGGGAAATGAAATTTCGTGAGAAAGTTGCATTGTTTAATTTTTCAAGACTTCCATCCAATCCCTATGAATACGTCTCACTGTTGACCAAAAATCTGAATCATCAACAATCGTTATCTTTATCTCTTTCTTTAATCAGGTTTAGACTGAATACAGGAGAATAACCTGTGTCTAGTAACATATTAGGATATTATTACCACATTGCAGTATTTACTCTTACTCTTCAGAAAAAAAAGCCACCTTTATTTTCTCATTTTTAGTGGAGTTTTAGTGGAGTTAGTGGAGTTTTGTCTAGTTAAAACTCCACTTTTTTCTGGCCACTTTCGGGGTCACAAAACAACAGATTAACACAGTCGTACCTGATATGAAATGAACTGTTACATAATTTACCACTATTTTTGTTTGTGCAAACTGGCAACAAATTACATCTGCATTTAGTCATTTGTTAATGACTAAATGCTCAAATAGGCCTTAGTAACTTTATCAACTTTAAGCTTCTTAAATAGGAAATAAACATAACAATCATTAAATAAAATCATTAATTAACTAAAAAAGTATCATCATAGTTCAAAAGAATATTCTGAATCTGTTAAATCTTTCGTCTATGTCGTCATGTAAAAGCCTCAATCATGGCTTTTCTAACTAAAAAATTATACAATGAATTTCTGACCTGCAACAATGTTTCCATGCCAGGTGATGTAGTTCAAGCACACTGAGGACCAGAGAGACAGCTGACACGACCAACATGAACACTATAAAGACATTTTTTTCTGTAGGTCTGGAGACATAGCAGTTAACTGGATGTGGACATGGCCATGCCTAAAAGAGCAAAGGAACAAGAGAATTACTGTTATAGGCCCAAATATTGTGGTTAACAGCAAAGAGTGAAATCAAAATCATGTCTGATTTTTACCTTGCAGACGTACAGAGGATTGAGAAAGATTCCATACAGGAAGTACTGAAGACACAGAAACACCACCTGGATGGAAGGACAGTTTTTTTGTTGTTTTTTTTTACGTGTGGACATCATGATTTAGGCACAATACAAATACGAGTCCTTCAATGTTTACAAATCCTAAACTTTCATGACCAAATTGGTCCAAACTCTGCAATACAATTTGTTATTAATTTACTTCTCTTGGCATTTCAGACCCACCTACAGCCTTTGGAGGACAGACATGAGCTTGAACTAGACAGATTTGAAAACCTGCTATCAAGTTATGTTTAAGTTAAAGGTAGAAATGGTGACATTTACCTCCATGATGCTGCGTATCAGTATACTCAGAACATATGTCTGCAGCAGTGCTCCCCTCAGGCGAATTCGACCTGCTGAGTGACTTTCATTTTTTTCATTTCCATCTTCTTCCCCTTTCCTCTCTTGTTTCTCTCCACCTCCACCTCCACCTCCTCCTCCACCTCCTCCTGGGTCTTCTTCTCCCCCTCCCTCCTCTCTTCCCTCCTCCTCCCTGTTCCTTCTTTTCTCCTCTCTGCGGACAGTGTGCATAGCGTGGCCCATGTAGATCAGACTGGGAGTGGATACAAACACAATTTGGAGCACCTGGAAAGACATGGATACGATTTAAAATCAAAAGTAAAACAAAAGTTGTTATTTTCATCTGCAACAGTGTGAGATATTCCTCAGTATGGACTCCCAGGACTTTAAACTTTAAACAATTTAGGTGGGGAGAGAAACAACGAAACTCTCATCCAGAGCAGATCAGGCATCAGTGATTGAAAGCATGAAACACAAAAGATGTGTCATTGTTCTGGCCCATTAGCCCAGTTATGTGTTTTCATGAACTTTAGAATCATATTTGATGTTGTAATTGGTTCTCCGTTATAATTGATTGCCATGTTTCTTAGTGTCTTAGTTCTTTGTTTCTCTCTTTCTTCCTCTTAAATCTTCTTTTATCTGATAATCTGTTCTTGCTTGTTCCTTGCTTTTAATTTTACTTCCTTGTGTCTAGTCATCCTGATTCATTTCAGCTGTCTCTTTTTACCCATTTTCCACGTCCCCCATGTCTACATAGTTTCTAGTGTGTTCCCTTCTGTTGTCTGCTGTGTTTCTGGACTTTGTTATGTTATGATCTGTTTTATTCTCGGCCACAATAAAGGTTTTGCTCACTTCAAACCCGTCTCATTTGGAGAATGCATTTGGATCCTATTTTCCTGCAGTCTTTGACAGAATGACTCAACTAGCAGTTGAGTGCTTGAACAGTAACAGGTGGCGCTCTCCTTTTTAAATAGGGCTTTTGAACTGAAGCTATGGCTCAGTCCTGAGTATTAGTCTGTACTCAGGGGGACAAACTGGGGCAGCTGCCACTGCAGGCTTTGCAGCCTGCTTGAACATATTACTTGAACATTTATTTTTTTAGGTTTACACAAAGGATAGTGACTCAAAATTAAAAGATTAACTCACTAATCTGATATCTGCAAGAGTTTAAATTCCACCATTGAAGATTATTCATTTTCTAGGAAGCTGTTAAATTTAGGTCAGACTAATGCAGAATGCAAAGATTTAAGCTTGATAGACCTGGAAGTCTATGTCCTAACCTACGTTGTAATTGGAAACTCAACCTTTCATACCATTCAAGTCTTTATGGTATGCATCAACCCAAAGTGTTGCCACATTTCTTGGAAAATGAGTTTCCGTTTTTTGTGGTTCTGAGATTTTGATAAGAGTTTTATTGTTTGATCTGAACTGTTGTTGTTTTGGGGGGGAGGATTCATTTGCAGAGAGGCATTTTTGAAGCAGCCCTTGCTCTCGGCTGCAAGCATAGATAATCTCATTGAATAGCCTGTATGAAATGGAAACATTTCACTATAATTAATCCCTTGAGGACATCAAGTGACTGCAATTTATTTTACACACTGCACTGAAATAAATGGAAGTAAATAGCTGCAAGGAAGGTGGCAAACCAATCTTAACACTTGATAGATTTAAAATTAAAATGCTTCTTTTTCTTCAATGACTGCAGGATACTGTAGCCTGAAATGTTTGATGAATGAACAGGGATGTACAGACACAGATTCATTCCAACTGACTAATTAGAGTTCATATTGTGTTTACAGTTTTAGAAAATGTTTAAAAATCATCAACAGGTATAAAGAAGTTCTTTTGGTTGATGTGATAGAGTAACTATAATATATTTCTAATAAAATGTCAAGCTTTAAGATGGATTGGCTGACTTCTTTATGATCTTTGATTTCAGTTGGTTAAGACAAAAAGATAATCTTTGACTGCCAATGCATTACCCAGTATCGTATGTGTGCTATGGGGAAGGCTCGGTCATAACAGACGTTCTCACAGCCTGGCTGTTCAGTGTCACAGTTAAAATCTTCCTGTTCATCTCCCCACGATGACTCAGCTGCTGTCCCGAGGACAAGGATTCGGAAGATAAACAGGATGGTCAGCCACACCTGTGGAGAAAAAACATGAAGCAATTATGACCTCCAGTCTTCTTCTTCTTCTTCCAAAGATTAGAACAAAATCAGCATTAGCTCAGAGTAGGTTAATTGGATAAGTGTAATTTAAGTGTGACTATAATTATTTGTTTCTGCTGAATTGCTTCAATAAAATATCCTTTAATCAAAGTCTAGACTGTGGACATTCCCATTTTTACCCTTTTTAAAACAATAAAGGTATAAACAGCTCTTAAAGGTTACTCCAGTCCGGAGGGGAGGGCCACTATAATGAATGAAAATTGTTGTTTTCATCTGCAGTTATTTGTGTTTGGTAGTATATTTATGTTATGGGAACTCATTTCCACCTCCATCCATGGAAAAGCAGGGAAAGCAATAGCAAGACCCTGCACAGAGCAGTGAGAACAATAGGTCAGTGATTAGGTCGGGTGCACCATGAAAGGAGGGCTCGGAGTTTAGCTGGATTGTAAAGTGGCATTTAAATAGTTTTCCCTGTATGAGGTTTGCCAGTTGGATGCCTTGACAACTTCTAACTGAGCCATCAGCTGGCTGGCAGTGAGAATAGCTGGTCTGCCAGTACTGACTTCATGGCCACCCTGAACTAAAGTTATTACATACTTTAGGAGCTGGTTATCTTTGCAGTACGTCTAAACAGATTTAAAAATGCCTTAGAAAAAGTACACAAAGTGCTGACTGATTGAATTTACCATTACAATTAGTTATTTAAGAAAGAATCTAAACTAGAAAACTGAGCCTTCTCACAAGTTCAATGATATATAATGTTTATTGGGGGTTTTTTTAAAACCAAAAGCGTCATCATTTCCTAAACCTAACCAAGCGAGTGAAACAAAGATTTAAAAGAAACAGTCCCACAAAGAACGTGAATTCCAGTCCTCTTGACCTTGTGCCATGTCTAAATTTGTTATCTTGGTTTATAAATTGTGCTCCTGGATTCCTAAGCGTTGCCAACAGTTCTGTAAACAACGTACTTTGAGGACTACTACTACTTAGCTTCTCTGAAGAAAGAGGACAGTACATGCACACATTTTACAACAATGGACATGCATTGAAAACCAGAGGTTACTACTATCGTTACAGTTTTAAGTAACATTAGTTCCATAAAATCTCTGAAAGTGAAGTTATTTGTTTTTGGTTTATTTTAAGACTTGTTGAGTTGACTTTTGAATGGTTAAACTAACAGATGTTTGTATGATGTTTCATTCTAATGTTACAAGACTCTGAAACCACGAGTCGGGATACACAAAATTAACAGGATGATTTAGAAATACACAGTAATGGGGAGTAACGGAATACATGTACCGCCGTTACGGATTTAAAATACAAAATATGTGTAACTGTATTCCGTTACAGTTACCGTTTAAAAAGGTGGTATTTAGAATACAGTTACTTTGTTGAAATAAATGGATTACACGGCGGTACTT